ATTCCTGCTTTCTTAGGAATAGTAAAATACAAGCTAGGTAGAATACAATCTCCCGGTTTGCTTCTCTCTTTTGAAATAGATCTTCCCCGATGTCCCTTTTAATGTCCTTTTAGCCTTACAATTGTACATTCCGCATATCATGTAAATAACCCTTTATTTATATGACAGAGTGGAATATTTGAAAATTAATTCAAGTGTTCAAGCACCTGGGTAATTCAGGTGAACGTGGGTACGGGTGTGCTGGTGTCCGTGTTCATTCCCCTGAGGCTGCCTGCTGCTTTCGCTGGTTTTGTACAGAAGCATTTACCCGAAATTAACTGACCAAGCAGAAATGGGGTTTCTGGGCTGGTTGAGGTGAAATTACAAACACTAAGAAACCGTCCAGTGAATTTTCCACCTCCGTACCTTTCTACAATACATAACCACAGTTTCATCGTGTGGTTTTCTTATTGTTGTAACAACAGAGAACCTCAGCCTCACTCGGGTCACGTTTGTATTTTTTTTCCCATCCATAGTCTTCGCAGTCTCACTGGTTGACGACGGAGGAGAGGAACCAGGTTCTGCTCGATCTCAAAGCTGCAGGCTGGTCTGAGGTGGGCGAAAGAGATGCCATCTACAAAGAGTTCAATTTCAAAAATTTTAATCAGGTAATTATCGTTATTTACCACTTTTAATATAAAGGGAATGCCATTGCTTTCATTTCCATACCATCCTGATGGGAAAATATTTCTATTCAGAAGTTTGGGAGTGTCCATGTGGGGCCAGACCCTGTTGGTTTGCTCCTGATCCCATCAAGGGGAGTAAATTCATTCAGTTTTGTAGTTGTTAAGTAGATTTGTCCTAACAGTACAATTTCTTGATTATAATATTAGGGTCAAGGTCAGGGTTGCTACGATGAGATTAAACAAATAATATTTGATCCTGATTTTTTTTTTTTCATTACTAACACTTGTAAATGAATGCTGGGAATACATAACTGCTGGACAGCAGGGTTCATTTTTGTTGGAGAAAAACTGGAAAAAAATGGGTAAATATAAGAGCAGAAACTTTAGGCAAATAAGGTGGGAAGAACATGATTCATTTCACCTGTAAGCAGGAAGACAGGGTTCTGGTGTATTCTTGAATGAATTGCTGTAGCCGATCTCACAGGGTCTTTGGCACGGCAGGCTGCTGGTTACACCTCCTCGGGATTTTCTTTGGAGTCAGGATCCTGAGCCACGTCTCAGACTTGCGAGAACACGGCTGGGGCATCAGCTACCGACTTCCTTTAGCAATCCTGAATTAATCTGGAGATTTGCTGTCAGCTACGTTCCCCTAAGGAATTGCCTTCTGAGGCATCAGGACCCTGCTTAGGACAAAGTTCCGTTCCAAGAGCCTGCGTTTCTGGTTTGTTTCTGAAGGAGAGGGGACCGCGGTGTCGGTGACCCAGGCTTTGTTCGGGCGATGGCTCTGGCTGAGCTGCTGCTTTTCCTCGCTACCGGAGGGACACAGCCAGCTCCAGGCTTTGCTGGTGTGTGTGGGGACCAGGAACCATGCTGGGAGATGCTTCTGTACATGGCTGAGCCCAAACCCAGACCAAGATAATTTTTCTTTTATTTTTAGAAAATCACAGTGAGTTAGATGAACAGCAATTTGTAAGGCTGGCTCTTTGCTTTTTCCTGTACATTTTTTCCTGGATTGCATTTCAAACCTGAGCGTTAATGCAGAACAAATAAAGCTATCAGATAATTCAGAGGGCAAGGAGGGAAACCTGTGAGAGGGAGCGCACATGAAGCCTTGGTGAGATGTGCCGGCAGCTCCTTGGAGAGCTCCAGCAGCCAGGAGACAGAAGTAACTCTCGGAAAAGTTGAGATGTTTCGCCTTTGTGCTTCAAATAGTCACGAAACAGCATCTCTGCCGGGGCATGGTCAAAGGCTTTGTTGGTTCAGCACAACTAGAAATGACTTTTTTTCCCAAAGTTGATAAAAAAATGGGTTTGCATGCTGGAAATGAATGAGTCGGCTCCGTCAGAGGGACTTAGGGAGTCTGCCAGCAGATGGGTCAAGAGACACATTGGTGTGCCCAGCAGCAGATATCTAGAAAACCCATCGATTTGGCAAAAAATTGCAGTCGTTTTTCTTGACTGCATAGATTTATCTTACAAAATAGGCAGATATTCGTATGTCTTCCTGGTTTAAAGATGGATGAAGCCCATACCAGTGTAGGAAATGGAGTATATTTAAATATGATCTTTAGTAAATGATGAAGTCTAAATTTATGTTTCTAGTATGTGTCATCTTTAAAAGGGCACTCTTATAAATGCATGCCGCTGGAATTGTTTGGGAGATACTGGCGCAGTCTCTGTCATCCTTGGATGCCCATCCCGGATGCCGGGTGAGGCAGGAGCGGGAGCAGAGGCTGGGAATTGCCTCCAGAAGGGACTGGTCTGTGCCCAGCCAGGAGCAGGAGCTGGGGCAGGGGATGCTCTGGGCAGCTCTGGTTTATCGGGGTTATACGGGAGTATCCGAGGCAGAGTTTCACCCACGGATGTGTAGGAACCGGCTGCAGTGTCCCCTTTGGCGGTGGTGGGGGTAGGAGCCATTCCTGTTAGAGGCTCAACGTGCCGACCCCAGGGGATGCTCAGAGCTGGTGTCAGGGAACGAGGATTTGCCTTTTGAGAAGTTGAAGCTGAAAGTAAATTAAAATTATGGATATATGCTTATTGATGCTTCTGTTTATCGTGACTACCAGTAAATATTGTGTGTGTTATGGCCCAGGGAGCAAACGACAAAAGCGGAGCTGTACCTGCCTTGTGCTTTGGGAGAATTTAGTCCTGCAATGAGAAAAAATGAACTTGTAGGTACAACTTCTTTACTTTCATGTGAGAAATACTCTGTTTACATTATTGAAAGTGCAAGTATTTAGTAAAAGTCAGAGGATTGAGAAATATAATTTCCTTGGTGATCTTCCTGCTGCCCTTTACAGGCGGCGTAAAATCAGGTGTTTAAAAAAACCAACAAAAATAGTGTCTGAGCTGACATGAAAGGTATTTCAGATTTATGTTTTGCAGATGATATTGGTATGATTAATGTATTCATTGCGCTTTTTATTGCTTCTCGCAGATAACGTCCATGATGCATGGAAAATTCTGCGGCTTTACAATCGATGCCAGGTTTACAAAGCCTGTGTGTGTCAACAGATGTTAAGAATATAAACACGACTTTTATTATAAAGTCGCGCAAATGTGTAGACATGAGCTCGGTTTATGTATATTATTTTCAGCATGAGAATGAAATGAAACTTCTGTGAAACGAGGGTTATTTAGATTCCTGGAGCTTTCAGGCTGAGATTAGCCGGGTTAAAGGCGCTCGGCGCTGGGCTGCCTTTGTGCGGCTGATGGGCTAACGACACTCCGGGATCAGGGAATTAGTCTGCAACCCGGGACTTGGAAGTGCTGGTGCTGTTTGTTAGGCTGAAGATACATTTTTGTGAAAATGGGCTTTGGGAGGTACAGTTCTCTAAAGCAAACTGGAAACCAGCCTGGGGTCCCAGCTGGGAGCCCTTTGCTGGTTATGTTGCCCACCACCCACTGGTCCCAGCATCCTGGACTGGGCAGCACTGGTGCTAAGTCCTGCTCCGTGTTCCCGTTGCCTTTAGCGTGAGACAGGTTGGTGGGTGGTCAGAATCTTAGATAAAATAGAAAATACACCAATGGTGGGGGAAAAAAATGCAGATGCAACTCAACTGGAGAGGAGAGCACCTGGTCTGGAAGAGCTGGGCTGGTGGCACCGATGCGTCCGTTCCTCCTTACACCTGGAGTTGCTGCGTGTTATTGCCGGTGAACAGCAGGTAGGCAACGATGAGTTAAAATCAGAGTTTTTACCTCCAGGACCCTCGCACAAGAGCCCCCAGGTTGAGTCTATTCCCAAGGAGCATCTTCTCGGCAGAAACCTCTGGCCATGAGCGAGGTCTTGGAGAGCGGGTGGGCTTGGAGCATCCCTGGGGGGTCCTGAGCCCTGTCCCGTGTCTGGGTGCTGGTGAGCCTCCGTGAACCTCGCAGCCACCGCAGGGACCTTCTCAGGGCCTCTTTCCCAGTCTGCAGGGAAGAGACGAGCAGCTAGTGAGGCTTTTGGGCGCCATGGAGCATCACAAAGGGACAATCTTGGCCATCCGTGTCTTTGTGATGCTGGAACAAACCATTTCTCTTCCAGCTTGGAGCAAGCCCTCTGCTTCCAGTCTGCCCAGGCAAAAGTCGGAATCAGGATAGAAAGTTAAATTATTCCTCCAGACCATGCTGGTAACTTCTACCAATTATCACTCTGCAAACTCAATAAAAAAGCTGCAGAAACGTCGGGACTGATGTTAGAAGTTGGTCATCGAGGGAGGGAAGGGTTGCTGAGGACCTGGCCTGTGTCTTAGGAATTTCTGGGGATTTTCCCATCGTTTCAGGTCATTACACCTCGGGAGGGGTGATCCTGCAAAGGGGACAGACCTGGCTCAAAAATCGGAATTTCCCCCAGGTTCATCCCGGTTGCGAAGGGCTGCGGGCGCGGGGTGCTGAGCGCTTGGGTCCTTTCCCCAGCTGCTCGTTTTCGCCAAATGTGCAGGAACATCTTAACTCGGAGACTTCCATGTCTCTTGTCAAAGTTGGTTGGATTTGACCAGAGGGTTTAAGGGGCAACTGCCTGTGTGATTGCATTTCCTTCAGTAATCACGCCAAGGCAGCAAATGCAGTTAGGAAATTACAAAGGTGGGCGTGTGTGCTGATGGTCAGGTTCAGCATTTACAGCTGCTTTCTTTTATGGGGTAAGTTTTTAATTAAGGTTGCTTTTTTTTTTTAAAAAAAAATCCTGTAGGAAGTCTCATGCTTTTTTTTAAAAAAAAAAAAAAATCCTGTAGGAAGTCTCCGTGAGAGCTCTAACGTCATTTTATAAAATGACAGGAAATCAAATGCTCTTCGAGGTTTAAAAGCTATTTTAAATAACGTGTTTTGGGGCTGCAGGACAGAAGCGAAAGATGAGCCTGGGCGGAGGGGACGGTGAGGGGACGCTTTGGAGGACAGTGCCGCATGGGTGTTTCGTTGCAGTTGTGGACTCTGGGTTTTTGAGAACTTACTTAAAGGTGTGCAAAAAAATCTAGAATAGTTCAATAAATTATTATCGTCACTTTGCATTTCCTTTCTAAATTTTCTAGCTTTCTTGCTTGAAATCCAGGAAAAAAAAAATCAGAGCATCTTACAGTAGATGCTTTTTTTTCCCCACTTATTGAAGCACCAATTATTTACCTTTAACTACAGGGAGACAAGCTCAGATTTGCCCCTTTATATCGAACATCCTTGTTGTAATATCACATCCGAAGGAGTTTGGCAGGATGTGCAGTGAATATTCTTTATTTATTTTGATGGTGGGACCTGGTTCCACTCCCTGTAATGCAATCTGTGTCCAATCTTGCTTTTCTGCTCCTGGCATGTTGCTTTGTCTTCTGCATTGATCAAAGATTGGAAAAATTTGATTTTATATATGTAGGCGGTGTATTTCATTGCCGCTTTATGTACTTAATCTTTTGGCTGAAATACGTCCACACCTTTCATGTATTGAAAATATAATATCCTTTAACCTACAATCTGCAGAGTTAAAATGAATTTTACCTTAAATATTCGGTTGTGGGC